GACAGAGCGCGGGAGAGAGAGAGAGTAAAGCAAGAGCATACCAAGAGAAAATTAAACAAATTTTTGGTCAAATTACAGCCTGGAGAAAACAAGTTGCAGACCAAAAATTGAAATTCAGAAGCTACTCAAATATTGTTATAACATTGTTCCATGCCAAAGCTCTTTTTATTTAACCATATTCTCACAAAAAAAAAAAACAAAAAAGAAAAAGAAAAAGAAAAAGAAAAGAACAATTATAAACTGGCCGCATCCTTGCCCTAAACAGAATACTCACGATACTTTTTGACGTACCCAACTGACACAAAAGTATATCTCTAAAGCAAAAAGGAAAAACAGATAAAGAGCTTTTTTGCAGGTATAAAGAAAATAGAAAAAAGAAATGCGCTCTACCATAAAGGAATAACGGTCACTATCAAGGCCACTCAAGAATCACAGTTTACAAGAAAATTGAGGATATTTCTAATTTTCAAAAACACAATAGAAAGGCCAGAAGTACTTGACTCCATACTAAAACGCCAAGAAATTCACAGGATTCCGATCAAACAAACCAAAAACAAGAAGCAAGCATACAGAAAAAGATTGTTTACTCTTAATTTAACAAATACAAGAGGCCTAAAGGCCGCCTTCTAGTCACCCAAAACAAAGAGACCTCTTCTCTTTCTTCTCTATATTCCTATGGTATTTGGCTTACGAATCACGAACTAATTTGGTGCTGAATCCCTGTGTTGACTACCTTGAGAGTCACTTGCTGCATTAGAAAACATGTCCATAACAGACCTCCAAGCACCTGCTGCTTCTTCAGGTGTATCCGAGGCCGTAAAATTGAGGCTTATATTCCCATCAATTCTGATTTCAGGCTCACCCGTCTCTTCTTGGTTTGAACCTTGTGGCCTGGTCTGCACATTATATGCTCCAGTGGCCATGTTCATGAGCATGGATGCTAAATCAGTAGGAAGGGGACCATTGAAAGGCATTGAAGGAAATGGGATACTCCTGTTTCTCGGTCTGGCAGATTGGCCATTGCGGACTTGGCTTTCGCTTGGCCCTGCACCCTGTAAATCAAAAGAGAAAAATCACAAAAAAATTGGAAATTGTGACAAAATATGAGTTGAAATAGAAGTAAGAGGCATAAAAAATAATTCAGTGAACCCAAAATGTAGTGCCTGCCATGTAAATAGAGAAGGTATATAATATGATGCATGATAGTCCAAAGGGGCATCCACCATCTTACCTGGTCCCACTAGGACACATACAGGCAGATAGATAATCTACATCATCAGTCACTAGGATTGTCCGTAGATGACCCTTGGAGAACATGTTCCATCCTCAGGAGATTTCCAGGATATCCAGACAGCACAAAATCATGACTCAAGAACACATGGTTTTCTTTTCACGGAGAATTGAAGGAACATCAAGATGATTTTGAAACTAGGAGCTTAGAATATGCAGTAACTACAATGTCTTGGGCACTACAATTTATCATATTTTGGTTCCAATTCAATCAATATTTTTTATGATAATCATGTTTGTGGGAGGTATCATAAAAGTATAGAAGCTTTTCTAGGTGCTTGGCTGAGAGTGTTACAGCAACATTGACAAGGAAAGGATACAGGAAACAAATCCAAATAAAGTACATCTCATTATTTGCATGAATTAGATCTTATTAAGGCAAAGGCCTCAGATCATGGCATTTCAGGTGTGTTTTGACATGCCTTAAACCATGTTAAGAGAGAAGTAATCAGGCAATGTAAATGCAGCCCTTTGACATAGCAACTTCATGAGTATGACAATTACCTGATTTCCTTCCCTTCTAAGATACTCCTCTTTCAACTTTTCCTCAGCTGCCTGGCACAAACATATGGGAAATAATAAATAAGCAACCATAGGCAGGAAGTACTCATGAAATTAACATCAACCAAAAAAAGAAACAAACCTGAATGTTGTCTCGAATATGACTATTGTTAGGATCTAGTAGCAAGGCTGTGTAAGAGGAGATTATAACTTTAGTATCCTGATTACATCAAATCCAAGCAAGGTAGTCTATATGATAATGATCAAGGAAATAGCACTCCATTACCAGAAAATTGCTAAGTCTCAAGACTTCCCATGTTATACTAAGAGCTGAATAAATAGGCAGGATATCAACTGAATGTACAACTGCAACCATTTTTTGCAACCAGGAAACATTTTACCTAATTTTGCAAAGTACTAAATCCTCACCTTAGGAGTGTAAAATTGAAATTAAGGTTATCCTGAATTGAATTGAACAAAGCTACAAAATCAAGAGTCAGATCCAAGTATGAGCATCAGAAGGTTAAGATTTCAGCACACTAAAAGGCTCAAACATATCTGAGATCTGAACAAGTTTCACATGCGTGATCCAGAATAGGCTGAATAATTGTTATCGACCAATTTCAGGTCAGTGAAAGACTCCGTATCAAAGATTTTACAGGGACCCAAATTTCCAGAGACTTTTCTAACATAATTCACATGAGGATGTATGGATGTCATACATGCATGGATGTGGTTCACCCCATCTTGCCCTTCATATCCCTCGAGTTTCATCAATATATTGAATAGATATTTCTATAGGGTTGAGAGTGAGGATTCAAGAAGGTGATTTCATACAAATCATATATGTAAGTGTTGACTGTGAAAATCTGAAGAGAGAACCTTTCAGGTCCCTTCTTGATTTCACTATGAGCTTATAACAATCCTAAAGAAATGGGGTCCTATCAAATTATGACCTACAGGTGAGCTGGTCTCAGAGACGAGACTAACCCCTCTATAGGTCACTGGCCGAGCCAGCTGACCATGTATGCCAAGAGATATAATTGTGAAAGAAAACTAAAAAAAAATGGAATAAATACTAGGAGATAAATAAAAAGAAGTAAAGAAAGTCGCTTACTCAAAGCCAGGCCTGTTGGCCCAGCACCAGGAGTAGGAACCTAGATCAGACTGCTTTGGATGTTTTTGCCTTCCTTTATTTGAGAAATGCTTGCTGAAAATGTTCCTGGATGGTTGGGTCCATGGCTGGGTTAGGGTATTCCTGGATGGTTGGGTCACATGCCTGGGTTAGGGGTCCTCCTAAGTGACTAAGGTGAGTGAGGGTGGAGTATATAGGAGCATCTAGTTTCCCAAAGAGCTTACCTCGTCTCTCTAAAATGTCCTGCCTACTCACCGGCCAAAAGTTATTCTTTCAGTCACCAGTAATCCTAAGATGTCAAAAATCCTAATATTCAGATGCACTGATAGGTGTCCTAGTGCCAATGGGAGCAGCTTGTACATCCTTCCGGATGAGCATTGTCTCCTCATCCTTGTCCTGAATCTTGTGGTTCTTCAATATGTTGAGAAAATCCTTCTTGCTGACTTGGTCTTTATGGTCCTCAATAACGCTAGCCTTCTCCAAGAAACAGTCCTTAACCATGGTAAGACTAACCGTGATAGAATCAGAAAGGTTCACGATCGCCTAGGCCTCAGCCTCCCTTTCTGGGTCAACGCGCCAGCCGCCACATCAGTAGCCAGAAGACCGACCACATGACAAAGGAGCTTGCAAGTCATCAAAATTTTCCAGTAGAATACCCATCTCTTGTCTCCTCTCCGGCTTCAACCGCCAATTCTTTCACTTCAATCTCTCCAGGATCGGGTTCCTCCAGAGTTTTGGGAGCCATGGGATAAGAATTTGAGAATAAGAAGAGGACGATTACAAGACCAGAACAGGGAATTTGAGGGCATTCAGATGAGGTGTGAAGTATTTCGCCCTGAAACACCCTTTTATAGGGAGTTTTTGAGAGAGACTAATCAAAATAGCTGGGCAATTGGAATTAGCGACACATTGCATCGTGCGGCTAGTGACCAGTGATGCATACTGCATCGCAGTCTTCATCATGAAGCACGAGAATCATTACAATTTTAGAACTTATATAATGTCCTCAACATGACATTAAATTGTGTGATCCCGACCTCAGCACAATGTTAACTGCGTGATCCCGTCCCAGCACGATGTTAAACTGCGGGATCACATCGCAATGCGAAATGTGCCACACTATATGTTACAGCAATGCATACTGTGTCACTGAACCTACAGAACCCACCAACAGTTGTTGACTGTGTTTTGGTGCCTAATCTTGATTTTCCACGTGGATTTGAACTCATGAGCGGGTTTGAAGTTAATCCTCCATAGACGGTCCAATCTCATCATTTTAATGGGAATATTAAAATTCCTGGTGATCCTAATGAGTATAGTCCACAGGAAGGTGGTCTGGAGATGTACCAGGTCGATATGGCCCTCATGGTTTGATTTTAGGTATTCTGGGGTCTACTTTAAGGACTAAATTGGTCTAAGGTTATGCTTGGGGGTTAAGGGCCTAGGAATAAGGCAAAATTTTAAATCTGGTGTCTACAGAAAGCCACAGAAAAATGTTCCTAAACTTAATCCCTCTTTGCTTTAAGCTTTATACCAACCCAAATATCCACTGCTAATATCCAAGGTATTCTTTGTTATTGTTTCATGTAGGAAAATCATGCTGGACCGTTGCAGAATTCCAAACTTGTTCTAAAATTTACACAAATCTTCAATGGCCAATCAACTTAGAGTGATCGATGAATTGCAGTAGCCAAGAGTCACTCTACAATTTAGACAAATGGCCACATCCAATGGCCATACTAGCCAAAATATCATGGCTGCAGACCAAAGAAGTGTCAAATAGTCTTAATGGGAATATGAGGGAAAAGGAAACAACTCTGGTTTGGCTGCTTAGATCACCAATATCAAATTAACTCTGGGTAACGTTTAATCAGTTCGTTTCCTTGTTCCCCAAGGGGTTTGGAAGTCAAATAGAGAGGATATATACATACTTCTCATGGAACAACAATGTTAATGAGATAAGACTACTCTACTTAGTGCAGTGGAAAGACGACTATATACCCCAAGATAGAGTGTCTCTGAATATGATGGATCCAAATAGAAAACCAAGCTGTATTATGCAAATGGATTGGGCGTTTTTAACCAATCCTACATCATGAGTAGTGCTTAAAAACTCAAGAGAGTCGACTTGGGACTTGCCCGAGTCGACTTGCCTCTGGACCTGGGCGAATCCTATTGAGATGCCATGGACTCATCCAGGCCCGAAACTATAAGGTACTTGCAATGCAATTTTATAATAGAATCAGTCGAGTCTTCTTGAGATTTGGCAGAGTCAGCTAGCCTGAATAGTGCTCGGGACACTGGTGAGTCCCAACCTGAGCCCCTGTTTTAAGCACTGACCATATGCTAGGTCGGTTAACATTTCTGAAGCCCGGACAGCCATCATAGCAGTCAACGACGGCATGAAGAACGAACTAAAAATAATGTTCAGTAATTGAGGATTGTGGCATCTAATGTGATAATATCTGGGAACGATGGTTCTGGCCAGAAATCCAAAGCGGAAAGCCAGAAGCTTCCTATGAGAGCCTTTATTGCACACTTGGGACCTGGATCAAAACCAGAACATTCAAGATTCCACAATGGAAGAAACACCCAATTTATTGCAACATGTTCAGAAGGCTTACATTACGAGTGATGACGGGAAAGATAAACTTGTCTAGGAATTAGAGATTTCGGGAAGCTTTTGCTTCAGACCTACATACACCAAGCTGTTAGGTGGAACTGGGTTTCCGAATAAAATGGGTATCGAAAATTAGGCTCCAGCTCAAGTCCAGGCTTTGCTAAATGAACAAGATACCCGCTATAAACCATCTACATCACAGGAAATTATATATCCATGCAGATGTGCCAGTGCAACACTTGTTGGTTCAGTAATACAGTTGACAAGTTTGGTCAGGTATGATAAGTTCCTCATATTTGGTCTGGATCATGTGTGGATGCCTTCCTGGTGTGCTGTAAGCATTAGGCAGTACAAGATGAAAAATTAAGGGACAGGCTTATGGTGGTGCGAGAGAGAGAGAGGACAGAGCTTTTCAACCAGATAGCGCAAAATTACTCGACATCACAAGACAACATTTCATGAACTAAAGTGAGACCAGGGTGCAGGGATCAAGAAGAAAGAGTTCACGGCAAACTGGAGCACGTTTATACAAAATGTTCAGAGACAGTTCAAAGAAATGTCCCCAGTAATATGGAGGATACAAGGATTCTTTGAATAGAGCAAAGACCTGTTATTCGATCAACTGAAGTATTGCAGGCTTCTCCCATACACCAGGCAACTCAGTTGCAGTAATTTGGCAAAGACAGGAGTTGGTAGGAGCAGGATGGTAGTCCTGAACTGCCTGCACCCATAGGCAAGCTACTTTCATTGCTCCTTTAATTACAGCTTGTAATTAACCCATTTTTTATGAATGAATTTCTCAATTTTCAAAAAGACTTTTTGTGCTTCCACTTTCTGTTCAATTCATTAGGGCTAAGGTATCATTGTGGACATGCAGAACAAATAATATACATTCAAAGGCATAATCAAAAGCCTAAACACAAACCTAATTGACACATGATTTCGTAAAACATCTGATTTGTATTTCCCAGAAATTATCAGATTAAGCTTAGCCTAGTAGTGCAAATAAATCAGAAGAATTGACAAAATAAACCAAGAGACAGGTGATTATAACTGTAAGAAAGAATAGAGAAACAATAAATGGCTATAATTCTTGTCCAACCTTTAGCAAATCCTTTGTTTATGGCATCACTATAGTTCCCTTGAGCATAATATGCAAGACCCAAACGGCTATAAGCCTTGCTGTAATCAGGATCAATTTCGATTGAGTTATAGCAGTCACGAATGGCCTCAATATATCTATGGACCTGGGTAAATGCAGCTGCCCTGGCATCCATAAAGCATCTATGAGCTCATAGATGACTAGAAGTAAAGAACCTCAAATATGAAGAGGACAGTTCTTACAGTATATACGAAGGGTTTGCAGTCTAAAATAGAAGCATATAAAATACATAATTGAGCGATCATAAGTCAATAGTGAAACTCAGAGGCACTTAATAACACATTAATCAAGTATTATAGACCAGAAACCATGTTAACAAAAAATCCACATAAAGAACTCAAGATATTTGTTATCAATCACCAAATGCCAGCTAGCTAAAAAATAGAGTTAACTGCAGTTGACCTTGGGTATCAAAATCAATGAAAACAAAAATTGGCTTTTCAAAAGCGAGCTAGTCATTCGTAAAAAACCCAAAGATCCACAATGTATAAAGAGTGTTTCATGAGATCATAAATACATGACTACATGTATTGGCTGCAATGATTCAAAAAGCGGACCGCCCAGCGCCTAGACGGTCTGAAAGGCCTGGGCGGCCGCCCAAGGACGGAAATTGATTTCGATAGCGGCAATTTTGGTTTTTTTGTTTTAAGGGCCAAAAATTAGGGTTTTAGGTTCATTTGAACCCTCAAACTTGTTGGAGCCAATTTTAGAGAGAGAAAACCCCCAGAAATCTAGTTTTTGGTGAATTTTTTAGGATCGAAGGGTTTCTCAAAGTTAACAAAATTGATCAAAACATCACCCATTGATATTAGATTACTTTTTGATGTTTTGCAAAGTTATTAGGGGGTTTTTGAGAAGATTTTGAGTATTTAGAAACATCTTTGAGGTGGAAGTTTGAAGATTGAGCAATCAAATTCAAAGAAAGTAATTTTTTTTATTGCTTTAGTAATTTGCATTATCTTTTAGATGTCCTCTTCGGGATATAATAGGAGTAGTGATCCCGGTTGGAAATATGGCTATAACTCATATCCTAATGATAAGAATTGCATAAGATGCAAGTTTTGTGAAAAGGATACAAAAGGGGGCATAAACTGGTTCAAGAAACATCTTGCCGGTATCTGGGGGGACGTTGCCCCATATAAAAAGGCTCTTAATGCTGTTAAAGAGGAAATAAACAATTTTTTGAACATGGTGAAAATGAAAAAAGATGAGAGATTTGCCTCTATAGCAAAGATTAAGTCTGGAGTTCGGGTCAATTTTGATGATGATGATGATAGTGATGAGAAAAGGGAGGGATGTCAAGAGGTTGAGCAATCCATTATTAAGGGAAAAGGGAAGGGAGTTGTAATTACTTCTAGTTCTGAGACTAAGAAGCCTCGGGTTAGAGGCCCTATGGATAGTTTTTTACCTCGACCTGACCTTAAGGTTGCAGGAGAGAAAACAAAAAAGCAAACCACCATTGAAAATAGAATCAAGAAGGAAGAGAGAGATAGAACTGCGTATTATCTTGCTACATGGTTTTATGAGGCGAACATTCCTTTCAATACCGCTCGCTTAAGCAGCTTCTATGCTACGATAGAGGCAATTGGCCAATTTGGCCCTGGGATGAAACCCCCAACCCCATATGAACTTTCAGAGCCTTTTTTTAAAAAAAGTAGCGAATGCCACGAAGGAAGCTATAGAACTTAAGAAGGATGCATGGGCTCAGTATGAGGTTTCTATTATGACTGATGTTTGGAGTGATAGGAAGAGAAGAAGTCAGATGAATTTGCTTGTGAATTGTCCCGCAGGGACTGTCTCTTTAAGGTGTATTGATGCCTCTGATCATATCCATGGTGCCCATTACATATTTCAAATAATAGAGAAGGGAATCAAGGAGGTTGGGGAGTACGTTGTTGTACAGGTTGTCACAGACAATGCGGCTCCTAATGTTGCTGCCTCTAATTTGTTGCGCATAGCTTATCCTAGAATCTTTTGGGCATCATGTGCAGCACATTGTATAGACTTCATGCTTGAGGCTCTTGGCAGTTTAACCGAGATATCAGGTGCAATGAAGAAGGCCAAGTTAGTTACAAATTTTATTTATAGCCACCATCTCACCCTGAGCGTGATGCGTACCTTTACAAAGAAGAAAGAGATTGTGAGGCCTGAGGTCACGAGATTTGTGACTTGGTACTTATGCCTAGATAGCATACATTCGAGGAGAGTGCCGTTGAGGCAAATGTTTATCTCGGATGAGTGGAGAGCATGCAAGTGGTCTAAAGATCAGGTTGAGAAGAAAGTGAGAGATATTATACTTTCTAAAGCTTTTTGGAGAGGGGTGAAGGGTGCTCTTAAGGTATTTTTTCCTCTTGTCAAAGTGCTTTACATGGTTAATAGTGACAAGCCTTCTATGCGCTACATATTTGATGCTATGGAGAAATGCAAAAGACAGATAGCCCAAAATTTCAATGATGAAGAAACCCGCTACGAGCCTGTTTGGGAGATTATTTATGAAGTGGGATAGGCAGCTACATCGGCTATTGCAAGCAGCTGGTTATTATTTGAACCCAGCTTTTTTTTATATTGACAAGGATATACAAACAAATGACACAATTATGAATGGATTTAATGATTGTGTAGAGGTGCTAGTCCCTAATCCTGATATGCAGGATATTATATGTGCTGATGAGCTGATAAATTACAAGTGCTCATTACAGTCTTTTGGGAGTCCAATGGCGATGAGGCAAAGGACCAAAATTAATCCATGTATTAATAATATTCTTAAGTTCATCTTCATCAAGTTCAAGTGATCAAGTAATTATATTATTTATTTATGAATTTTTTCTATATCTTTGCAGCCCATTGGTGGAGCCAACATGGGTGTAGTTCTCCAAATTTACAAAAGTTGGCCATTCGGATCTTAAACCTAACCACTTCTTCATCCGGTTGTGAGCGCAATTGGAGTACTTTTGAAGGGGTAAGGCCGTAAGGGTAATTTGTATAATTTTATAAATAATACATGAACCATAGATATTAGATTTTAAATAGTTTCATTTGATTTTGTTAGATTCATACAAAAAAAAAGGAACAGGCTTGAATCAAAGAGGCTCAATGACCTAGTCTATGTCAAGTACAATTGATTCTTGAAGGATAGGTTTGCTAAGAGAGATAAGAGAGACCTTATTAGATCAAAAAATATGGACCATGCTATGGAGTGGTTAGTTGATGATGATGAGGTCGAGGGGCATGAAGGATTGACATGGTCATGGATGCTTCAGGGACATCAGCTGACCCTCCTAGGGCCACTAGATCTTCTGCGCTGAGAACAAGGATGGTGGAAGAGGAGGAAGAAGACGCTGATTCAGAAGAGACGGAGGAGGACGGGGACGACCAATATGTCGAGGAGGGTGACGACTCTGTCGACTCCGATGAATATGATGCCAATGCAGCTGACCCAAGATTTTCTGATGATGAACGAATGATGAATGTTGATTGTTGAATAATTATTAAACTTTGAAATTTGAACTTTGATTAAAGTATTGTGCATTGAACTATTGAAGATTCTTTTGAGTCTTCAAGTATTACTTTCATAGTTTCATAATTCAATTTTGTTTTCTTCCTCATGGTGGTGTACTGCAGTACTGGTGTGATACTATTTGATAACTTGGTTTGATAATTTGGTTGGTTATAAATTTTAAGTTTTAATTGGATATGGAGTATGAACCGACTTATGGATTATGGTTATGCTTATGGAGTGTGTGCTAAATGCTAATATGTAGTACGATTTGAATTATGTACTGCAATACATATAATTGATACTGACATAACTACACTATAAAATATTTATTTGGATTCAACTGGGCCGCCCAAGTTCTGGGCGCCCGCTTAGGCGCTGGGCGGCCTGGACCCTCCGGAGCGTCTAGGACCCACCTAGCGCTTTTTGAAACACTGAATAGCTACAAGAGTACTCTAATCAGGCAGCACTCCATTCCCCAAAACCATTGCTTCCATAGCAATTGCCCTTGTCTCCCTCAAAAAGATGTTTGTAAGTAACTAAGCTTGGAAGGAAAAGAAAGAGCCAAATCTAAGACTTCTGGGAACCATATAAGGACTGAATAATGCAAAATGGATCGTTGCCTCGAAACTTCATCCAACCTTCACTAAACCTTGGTCTTGGACCATTGGCTACATGGCAATACCAAACACCAAAATCTAATTGGCAATCATCATAAATATATGGCAATACCATATTAAGGAGACTTCTACACTGTGAGCTCTCGACAGCCCCTCACATGAAAACCTTGTACATACCCTGCTATGCTTTTTCCACACATTAATACAAATGGTAGGATACTCGCTCAAACCCCTTGAGAACTTAGCAAAGAAAAGTACAAATAAAAGTCCCAGATTCATAACTGTAGTCAATTTATCATTAGCATAGACAAGATGCCAAAACAGGCCATATTCAAAGAACTTTGACCAACATCTGTAAACATTTGGGCAATCACAACAAAAGTATGCTAATTTCAGGAATCTTAATAGATTGGACAGACCTTAAGTAGAAATTTGGGACATTTATTTGGTCGATTTGGCCAAATTTTGGGCCGTGAAGTTCAGAGAAAGCCTATAATTAGAATTTCAGGTCAATGAAAATTTTAAGTTGATACATGTTATTTTGAATTTACCAATTCTTGGACTGGGCTCACATCTTGCTTCCCTCAATTTCATTTCCTCTAGGAAATTCAGGAGGCACATGTTTTCAGTACTCTACATTACACAAGGCACAACTTCCATCTATTTATCATGCACTCAATGCCAACAAGTGGCCAGCCTTAAATGAAAGACATTATGCCAAAGTCCTGCTCCTTTATATGAGGACATGTATGAATTGCATTGTTTCTTATCATCCTGTCCAACACTTCAGTTTATCTTTTTGTTTTTTTTTCTTTATATAGGTATCCATGGTTTGTACAAGAACAAAATTAGAAACCTGGACCTCCCAACAATACAATGCATACTTTTCTGCTGGATTATATAGGGAACATTACCCACATTTCTTTAGAGAGAGAAATGTGAAATCATAGAGAGAAAATTGGTGAGGCTCTAGGAAGGAAGGAAGATA